TTAAAACACATTTGCATTCTTATGTCTTTAAAATCAAAAGAAAGCAAAAAGTTTTACACGTACTTAACAAATGCTAAGTCTTTTTAGTAATAAACTTCAAATCTGTTCTTCTAAACTCCTCAGCATTTTTATCATGTATGAACAGACACCCTCAGAGGTCACATTATTCAAATTTACCTGAAAATCTGTTGGGAATTATTTTCATTTGGTTGCTGGTATGAATATCAATTCCAGCAACAAAAGAAAAGATATCAGTCAGCCAAGTTACTGAAAAATATCTCATGTTAGCCACTCCTGCTGACTTTAAATTAATTAAAGTGAGTCAAATTTAAAATATAAACTTCTGTAACATGACAACAGAACATCACTTTTTATAGTCAATTTTTTATTGCCTTGCATTTTCATTTTTTTCAAATACTTTAAAAACAGTGTAAAGATTAAATAGCACCAAGTACATGAAAATGGAAATCTACAGGACAATAATATTATTTAACAGTTTACAAAAGTTTCAGTGCAACACATTTTAGTGCTTGTTAAACTTTTGAACTGTTCTGTTAAGGAACAACATGGTCACATTATTCCAAATGTAAAAAGGAATAACAACATTTAAAACTGTTGAAAAATAAAATAAAATAAAAATACATGTGCTATAAATATACAGTGCAGAAGATATTATAAAAAATACAATTGTAACTATTTTAACTGTCAATGTAAATGTAACAATTGATATTTTCTTTAGTACAACTTTAATGCAGTTATTTGTCAAATTTTAGCACCATTGTTTTAGGTAATACACTCTTCTTGAAAAAAAAAAGTAAACAAAAAAAAGTAATTTTTTTTTCATTATGTAGTTTTGTTGCTGTTGAAGGACCCAGATCATCATGTGGTGTCAGCAGGTGCCCACTTGTCATGTTGTTTACCTGAAGGTGTTGGAGTCCTTTAAATTAAAAAAAAAAGACAAGCATTATATCACTGCTCTGTCAATAATACAGAATGTAAATAATCTAAATAAAGTAATAGCTTAGTGGAAAAACGCATCAGTTTGGTTGACATGCAGTTTACATTAGATTGTAAAAGAATAAAAAGCAGCTCTGGAGGTAAGTCAGAGAACTTCAAATGTCACAACATATTTTTAATTCTTACTTTCCATTGCATGTTTCACTACATTATAATTATTCACAATTTCAAAAGTCAACCTTTAATTAGTTGTAAAATGTTCCTCCAGCTATTTCTTACATGTTAAACTTATGGTGTCATGTGGCAACATTTTTCAGATGCAATCAGACAAACCGAATCAAAAACAAGCTAAATATTTTCATGAAATTATTTCTAGTATTTTCACACAATAATAAAATGTCACATTTTATTACATCATTACATTTGATATGCTTACTATATTCTGTTGTTATTAAATGATAGGTTCATGAGCTTTTCTAATTATTGAAATATGTTTTAATTTATATTTAACAGTAATCCAACTTTTTCACAACTGGGGTTGTAACTTCATGGGTCCAGAATGACGGATCAAGAGTGACTTACCCCTTTATTTCTCATCGTAGATTCAGGTAAGTATAAGATTCATCTCAACCTGCCTGTGAAACTGACTGAAATATTCAAGAACAGTTAAATCTGCACAGATATTTATTAACTTAAAAAAAAATCAACAACACTGTTTAAGACGAGTACCTGGTCTGAGATTTCTTTCTATACCGGACAAAAATGAGTGCAGTAACACAGGCCACCAACAACATCACAGACAACAGAATGGCTGAAATTCTGATTCCTTTGAGACAAACACGAGAAAGAAGAATATAATAATTTGAGCAACTATCAAAAGACAGTAAACTCAACATAAGAAAAAGTACATTTAAAACATACAAATGTTAACACACCTAAATTGCTGGGATCAGATCCTGATTTCTCATCTAGCTCTGGTAGAAGAAACATAAAAGTTACAATCACAAAGTAGTCATCAATTTATAAATCACTGAGTTCAGTTTCTCACCGTTATCATCAGGAATCGTCACCATCACCTCTCTGTGAGGAGCAGAGAGCACTCGTGCT